GTCGTCTTCAAGACGCCGATATAATTCTATTGAGCCGTTACCGGTACCTCGTATATTTCTGTATGCAGTGCCCTATCGATATTGAACCTGAACCCCAATACCTGGACCCTACCAAACCCTGTAAACCCTAAATCCCCAGTACCCTGATCAGTATTAAAACCCTAAACCCTGAACCGTAATGCCGACAACCCGAGGCTCCGTGCTGCCGTGAGTTTTGGAAGTGGCTGCCTGGCGATGCTCGGATACTCGAGCTGTGTATCTAGCAAAGACAGCAATACCGATTTAATGTTTATGTGAGCTAGCTGGCTGCTGCTACTTCATGATCAAGTAGTGCACATTTAGATTTAGAGCAGGTAGGGGAGCCTGCACCAGCGAGCACCGCCCGAAGCCAAAAAGCCTGGCCAGTGGTAGGACTTGCGAGACGATCGTGTGGGGGTATTGATATGCATATAGTTATGAAAAACCCCTAATAATCCCGAAACCCTACCCTCGGCCCCGTGCCGTAAACCACCTACAACCGGCCACTATACCTATCCCCTAAACCCGAAACCAAATTTCTTAAACACCGGCCAGAGATCCTAGCTGTCCCCCTATTGTAATTTAATATGTTCGGCATATAGAACCCGTCGCTAGTGCCAGAAATCCCAGATCCCGGAAAAACCCACCGCAGATACACGTGGCGAAACTGCCTTTGCAGACCATCTTCTATGCTCTTTGGGAGCTGGGGCCCCTTGGTTAATGATTGCAAGTATTCCCACGATCATGGCAGGATTTCCTATACTGCAACCACTAGATCTAGACCCAGCTGGCCCTGCATATCAATTAATCTAGAGGCTACTTCAGCGGCGCAACTTCGGGAAGCAGCTGCTGCTGCCGTGCAGGAGTCTAGAGGAGCCGTTAGTGACCTTACTCATCGGATAGCCGCATGTGGTACACATGGCAAATTTGCTGGAAATATTGAACGTGACTTGATGCGAGTTCTGAAGATCCCGGTGGACTCTTGCATTGATAGTTTAAGTTTCTGTGGTGTCATTATTAATGAGCTTGTCGTGCCATTTGTAGTATATATATATATATATATATATATATTGTGAATGACCCAGGACATTCATTACTGCACGATCTACATCAAGAACCCCAAGACGCGAACTGGCCACGAGCCGTATCGCTTGCCGTTTCTAATGCCGCACGAGTTGGTGCACTATCTTTGTGTGCCTTGCTTGCATTGTCTGTGGACTTTTCGGGTCTAGGGTAATCTACGGATCCGTCATATGGTGGAGTTCTAAATTTTGATCTAGCCATAGCTAGCTGATTAAGCTTCTATTTTTTGTTTAAGACTCACGGCTTATAATGGGTTTAGGGGTTTAGGGTCTATTGCAATTTCAGGAGTCGGGCAAAGTTGCAATCGATCGTAGCGAAGTTGATCGGTACTGGGGCCACATGGCGCAGTACACTAGCTGGGCTAAGCACCACCCTGCTTGCACTGACAGACTAGTGCCCCTTGGGATTCACGGGGACGATGGCCAGTACAATGCTGCTGGAGACAAATTAATCGTCATAACGGTTAATTTCCTACTGGAAAAAGAATCGCAGCACAGCTTTGGCCGATATCCCTTACTGACATTGAGGGAATTCCTCTGTTCCGGATCAATGCTGGATACATTGCGGCCCGTGCTAGAAATCCTCGCCTGGTCTTTCAGATGCCTGTTCTCTGGAAAGCACCCAAGCTTGAACTGGAGCAACGAAGCTTACAATGGCCGCCACAAAGCTGGCACCCCCATTGCAGGCCTCCATGAAATTCGACGAAATCATCGATATCGCTGCTGCCTAGAGCAGCAGTCTTACGGCTTAGGGTTACCCAGCTTTCGGTCGGGACCTTGAGATATAGTAGTGTAATTAATTCTACTCGAATATAGGTTTGCCTAGCTATCCTTGAAGGCGGTCCGTTCAGCTTGGTTGAGATGCGGGGCGATTGGAAATGGCACTTGCAGTTCTGTGGGCTGAAGTGGTTCTGGGCCACTCCGAACTGTTGTCACTGTTGCAAAGCTACTCTTTCCGGGCCGAATGGGCAACCAGATTGATTGATTATAACCGTACCGGTAAATATATAGCTAATAGTATGCTAGCTATTATTTAGCATATTGCAACCTTGTCCCCAACTCGACCTGAGGTATGCGACATCCTGGACGAAAACCTTTGAGAAGAGACGCCCTGAGGATGTGTTGCTGCAGGGCATGAGGTGGGATTCGGGTGTCTAAAGTCGGTGCCGGTATATCATAAGTGCCCCGGAACGAATACTCATTAGGTGCCCCAGCCCTGAAATGTGCACATTATATATTTCACTCGACAACCATCCCAAAACCTCATGAAGGCATCCAGCCAACCCGTTGTTCGGGGTGACGGGCGTCCGGCCCGAGATGATTCGTTGGTGTTCCATGCATACATTGAACCTTGGAGTGATCCAGTACTTAAATGGAGCGATCTTTTTGCTGCTGGAAGAGATGGGAGCCTCAGACAAGATTTTGCAATGTAGCTTTGGGCCCCGGGACATCGATGATAGTGCTATACCCTCCCCTGAACAACAACCGTACCTGGACACGCCAAAACTGTAATCTGGATTCCCATAACAGCAGATCCTTCAACCCAGGCTGGTTCAACTCCACGAAGCGGGCAGAGCAGATGGTTCAGCTGTGTGGACGCTTTAAGAATTGGGCGAGCTGCAACTCGCACCGGCAGCTTGGCAAACCCGGACCCTATAAAGGATAACCCAAACCCTTAGAGGAGGATGGTTCAGTATTCCTGGCAGTGTTGAATATTGATAATTTTGCAATTCTGCAGTGTTGCAAGAAGGCATGTCAGCACAGCACCAAACTCCAAAACGTGTTGTTTTAAGCCCCGACCCCTTCAGGACCTGAAGCTGCCAAGGACCCGAAAGCGCAATCATTCTTAGGGATACGGGTCCAGCATTTAATCTGGCTTAGGAGACTATATTCTTAAATCAGACACCGGTATAGCTAGGCAGAGCCTCCCAGCTGCACAAGCCACTTCCATTGCTGTGGCTGCAGGGCTTTCATTGTTCAGGGTTTCAGCACTGGAGTTTCCAGGATGAATGGCTTAGTGCTTCAGGGGTGTGCGGGACCTGTATGTGGCCCCACATTCAGATTCGAAGTACAGGGCAGAAGGGTTACGTATAGCTTCAGGTTGTATATTTACGGACTTGGGTTTAGTTTTCGGCAGTCCGTCGGGTGCAACCCAGTACGTGTTCTATTCGTAGTTCGGTATATATAACGTATACGGTACTACTACTACTACTACTACTACTACTACTACTACTACTACTACTACTACTACTACTACTACTACTACTACTACTACTACTACTACTACTACAACGACAACTCCTGCTGCTGCTGCTGCTGCTGCTGCTGCTACTTGCTTGCTACTATCTACGACGACTACTACTACTACTACTACTACTACTACTACTACTACTACTACTACTACTACTACTAGTCCTCAGTACAGACGCTGCTACTTGTACCACTCCTCCTGCTGCTGCTGCTGCTGCTGCTGCTGCTATTAGTACCAGCCAACTACTACGTCGAAGTAACTGCTCGAAATGCAAACCCGGGATCACATATAAAGTCGATATATATATATATATATATATATATATATATGTCGACTTTATATGTGATCCCGGTTTTGCATTTCGATGAGCCCAGAACTGGACGGCGAGGAAGCGCCATTTTGCTTTAGGAGTTTAGGGGTTCCGGTGTTTAGGGGTTTAGGGGGTTTAGGGGTTTCTGGTGCTTAGGGGATTTCAGGGTTTCGGGGTTTAGGGGTTTAGCTTTGGACGCATAAGCTGTTCGTAGCTCTCTCACGTCCCACGCATCAGCCTCGGTACGGGTCTCAAAGTTTAATTAAAGATATCATGTTTAGGATAAGAAGCCTCGGGGCTTTATAGTATATATATATATAGCTATATCGTCCTCCGATCCGAAGCCAACACTTGCAATACTTGTATAGGTGTGTTTGAACCGGTCGGTATAGATATCTATGTCCACTAAACCCTTAGGGAAACCCTTCAAGCATATTTCAGTTTGCATCATTAATTCGAACAAGCCCATCTGCAGCTTGTCAGGGTGGATCTGTATATTCTAGTAACAGGCCATGGTATATTGCCCATCTATAGGCCCTCACAGGGGGTTGCTGGTGTAGATCCGGGATGGAGTGCGAGTTTTTGTCTGAGACTTTTTATCGACAAAGTCGTTGGGCTCCACACGGCCTATTGCTGCCTGCTACTACTACGACGACGACGACGACTACTACTACTACTATTACGACTACCGCTGCTATTGCTGCTGCTACTGCTACCGATAATTATCTGCTGCTGCTACTGCCAAGAAGTACGATTTCTTGCATCTTCCCGATGTGCAATTAATCCTACCTATGCTGTGCAAAGTCATTCCAAAGCTTTGTCACATTGCATGGTTCGGCAGATCTGCTCTTTCAAGGAACGACGAGGAAGGAAGCAGACGCTCGCATGGTGTGCTTGGAGCATGTCGCATGGCGCATTTAAACAGCATGCTGCTGGCCTGGCTGGATGATAATGCTAGGCCCATTCGCATACGTACACTGTATCGTACCGATCGAGCATGCCTGCAGGGTGGCCGCATGTGGCTGTTGTCGCACATGGTGCACGAGCTTGCATGATTCCACACGTTCACGGCCGCTTGTGATCCGGGTAAATGTGAAGCCCTTCCGTGTCCGGCTGTGTATTCGCTTCATTCAACAACCAGATGATCAGCTGGTGCTTCTTGTGAATAATGCGGGGCCGGACGAAAGCAAGCCTGGGCCTACAAAGGTTGCAGAGCAGGGTCACAACAAACCGAACCGAAAGGCAAACTGCAAGCTTAAGTATACCAAGCTCCAATTAAATCAAGCACCTGGTGCCCATACATCTCTAAACAAAATCGCCGAGGCACTCTTTGGCAACGATGCCCGCTGGCCTACTTGATTTGGAGCAGGGCACTTACCCTGTCCTCAAGCTGAAGGCGTGGAATGGACGATTGATGATTCTTTTTTTGGCCGTTGCCCTGAAGGGGCTCTCGGAACCTGGCGATGATCTGCTGCGAAAGGAACGCCGGGCGGCGCTGGCGGCTGCCGAGTGTGTTGCTTGCATTTTCGACAGATCCGAGCGGGCTGCTCGACTGCTCACGGAGCAGGAGGCCGAGTCGATCAGCGAGGCAATTTTGAAGTTCCTCATGATTTATAAACAACTGGTGAAAATGTCGGTGTCTCGGAATTGCCCACGATACAAGATTATCCCGAAAATGCATGCATTATTGCATGTTGGGGAGGATGTCCGGGAGACCCGCTGCAATTTTAGACACTTTCATTGCTTCATGGACGAAGACTATATGGGGCAGATGAAGGAGTTGACAATCAAACTGCCAAAAGTAGGCGGCGGCCTGGAATTTAGATTGCTCACTCGATGGCTGCTCCGTCTGGGTGCCTCGAGACCACTTCGTGCTGGCGCAAAGTGATTTCTGCCCACTGCTCTGGGCGGTCAATCAAGATGTTTTTGTGGGTGGTCTACATCTGGCTCAGTTACACTAGACTCTGGCGAGTCTAGTGTAGCTGGCCAGCTATAGCTCTTCCACTGGGCGTGCACCGGCTCAGCCTTCACATCTTGATTCTTTGAAGCACTTGGGAAGTTTGGCCTTCGGGATGGTATCTGGCTCAGCACGACTGGTGTTGGCGTTGGTCAGTTCGGAAGCCCTCGCGAGCTCAGCCCTGGCGAGCCTGAAAAAACTTTTCCGAGGAGAACTCTTCAACGCACACAGTTGGCCCAAAGCCTTGTCTCAGCCTGTTTAGCCGGCCTAAACCCTTAACCGACCTCAGAAACTTTCTCGAACCCTTAAGCTGTGGACCTGGGCCCAGGCCTTGTGTAGATGGCTATTCTCGCTCCTAGCGATTATTACCTTAAGAAAACCCTGCCTCAAACCCGAACAGGAAACAAATTCAGCTTTTCAGGCTGGCCCTCGGTGTTGAGCTGCATCCTCGAAGTATATATATCCGAATAGGGGAGTGCCCATGATCTTTTGAAGATTTCAAGGGTTCCCTTGATAAGTCCAGGGTCTTGTCTTTCAATTTCTTCGGGCTTCCTGCTGATAGCTAGTACGTACATCACACCCCAACGAGAGCTCATAGTGCCCAAATGAACAGGAAATCCCATCGTCTAGCTTTACTTCTGTCATCCATCAGGCTTCCGGGTTCCCAAGGCTCTATACTCTCCCCACATATATATATACCCATAATTCTATGGATCTATGGAATATGCTATGACCATTAAAATTGTGAGCGTTGGCCCATTATGGGGGTACGATCATAGTTTTCGTGATCTTAACGCAAAAGCTGCACTATTAGCAAGCGTTGGATTCAGAGGGTAAGGTAGTTATGATAAGATCATCTACCGCAACGCCCTATTCTTAATTTGTATTCTGGGAGTGGTAGCAAGCTAAGTCTCACCCCAAGCCCTAAACCCTAACCGTAAGGAACGCGCCACGGAGCTTCCTGATGAGCTCCTGGCAGTCGCATTCTCTGCCAATGGCCACGCGCTCGCAGCGGTTTAGGGTTTAGAAGTGGGCCCCAGGGAGAATCCTGAAGAATCCCTTGCTGCTTTTAGTCTAGGGGTTGTGGGGATCGGATGTATAGTAGAAGCCAGAAAGTTGGAACATGGCTTTCGGAGGATTAGTGCTAGGATCCTTTATACTTTACCTTGAGGGCATGAGGATAACTAATGATGTTCCAACTTGCTGGCTTCTACTGTAAGATTTCATGAAACGGAGCGTCTGGGTTTAGAATTCTGGTTCGATTCCTTTGGGCAGTCATTGTCGCACGTGTTAGCAGGTCGAAGGAGGTTTCGGAGTACCTGGATACTAAGGAACACTCAGGAATATCTATAGTCTCCATTCTAGTTCCTTTGTTTGGTTAACCAGTTTTATGGCTAGGATCCTATAACATAATTTTTGGTTGACCAGAAAAAGGAACTACAATGGAGACTATAGGTAGTAATGTGGGTGTCGGTTTAGGAATATAGGCCTCTTTAATGCGTCGGCTCGGGAGCTAATTCCGAATCTGACCAAAAATTTGGTGGTACTAATTGATGCGTTTTTTTTTGGCTGGGGTGATTTTTTGGTGGCGGGGCTGTGCTATTTGCTGATGGTCAATCTTAAGGCAGCCACGACCTGAACCCCCACCCAAACCCCCACCCAAGCCTAAAACCCTGGCCCTGAAGCCCGAAAATCTCTTGCAGAATTGTTTCGCTTATTGGGGCGTCAGGAATGAAACTCTGTACTACTACTGTACTACTACTGTACTACTATTGTACTATTGTACTGCTGCTGTATGCCTTGCTTATTGGGGGGGGCTGCTAGGGTGAACCGCCGAATTGGGAATTGGACCCTTGCTCGACAAAGGCCTCTCCAGTACTAAAGTTTGTATAAAAAATTCAATTTTGGGTCGAATCTGGACCGACCCCCCTTTGGGAAGGGTTTAGGGCTTAGGGTTTAGGGTTTGTTAGGGTTTAGGAGTTTAGGATTCGTTAGGGTTTAGGGTTTGTTAGGGTTCAGGGCTTAGGGTTTCAGGCGCTGCTCTCTGGCTTTATTTTCTGTACGATTACTGTATTACTACTGTACTACTGTACTACTGTTGTACTACTACTGTACTATTAGTACTACTGTACTATTATCGTACTACTACTGTACTACTATTGTACTACCACTGTACTACTGTTGTATTACTATTGTACTACTGCACTATTATTGTACTACTACTGTACTACTATTGTACTACGGTACTATAATCGTACTACTACTACTGTACTACTACTGTACCACTATTGTGCTAGTATTGTACTACTGTACTATTTGTGTACTACTACTGTACAACTATTGCACTACCACTGTACTACTGTTGTATTACTATTGTACTACTGCACAATTATTGTACTACTACTGTACTACTACTGTACTACTACTGTACTACTGTTGTACTACGGCACTATTATCGTACTACTACTGTACTACTATTGTGCTACTATTGTACTACTGTACTGTTCTTGTACTACTGCACTACTATTGTACTACCACTGTACTACTGTTGTATTACTACTGTACTACTGCACTATTATTGTACTACTATTGTACTACTACTGTATTATTTCTACTGTACTACTGTACTATTATTGTACCGCACCAAGCTTCAGACGTGGTCGATCGTGGGTGGGAGTGTAGGTTACGGAGGCAAAAGTGTTCAAAATGAAAGGTTTTTAGTCTTGGTAGTAATCTTGGAGTGATCGGGGCTTGGTTTCCAGCATTTGGTGATCCCCAGACCCCGCCGACCCCCGACCGCGCATTCGCGAAGAACCGCAGACCCTGCACCCAAGCCAGCCCCCAAACCCCGGCACCTCCCAATTCCCTGCCACTCAGACCCCTGACCCCTGTCCGGCGTGACCGGCGCCATACTAAAGTGATTTTTGTTTTTGGTCGGGGGGAGGGGGGGGGTCCCGTCAATTAAACCGACACCCACATTACTGGTAATTAATTGCTCAGGCCCCGGTATTAAAGCTGGGCTGTGGATCTTGAGCCACGGGCCCCACATCATCCTCTCAGCCGGATCCGAAAAGTAACAGGCAAGTACATCAACGTGGCTTTGCTGAACCACACCATAGTGGTTCTCTTCGAAGACTCGCCAGGGACTCGGTTGAAGAGTTCAAGACAAGCTCCCAAACACACAGCTTATGCCCTCAAGTCTAAACCTTACACTGGAGGTATTCTTTCGCACCTGCCTACACCTTAGATTGCACACAACTTTCTGTCTGTCTTCACCATTTACCAATCTACCCTCGAATGCTGAAGCTCTCGAGCAACAGCCCTGCATGTGCCTTTTTTCCTAAGTAGCTGAACCCCAAGGCTCCATGTACCCACATAGTATATACTTGAGCCTCAAAGGGGTACCTATGTAGGTACTTTAAGGCCCAAGTATATAGAGGATCATGGGACTTAGTAAGTAAGGTTATAAGTACCCTAACTGGGGTTATAAGTAATTATAACTATAGTTACCTTACTTATAACCCTAGTTACTAAGTCCCAGGATCCTTCAAGTACTCTAGACCCTAAACCCTAAACCCTTATAGTACCCCTATAGATCCCTTAAAGGGACCCTAAACCCTTATAGTACCCCTATGGGCACATGGAGCGTGAGGGGAACAGGACTCTGAGGAGCGGAAGCTTCAACGCTACCTTAACCCGGAATAACCTACCGCTTTAAGGGCTTATATGGGTGGTTGTCAAAATGATGGTCCCTTTTTGGGTCCCTAATATAGTACGGCACCTAATATTTAGGGTTCCCAAAAAGGGACCATAATTTTGACAACCAGCCATATAAGGAAGTCATTATAAAGAACCCTAAAAAGGTAGGTTATGAAGGCATTATGAAGGGTTAAGGTAAACCCCAAAACTCCTACAGCTTTGAAGCCAAAGTTTATAGATTAAGACTCTTGCCTATACGCTCCATTGTAGTTCCTTTTCGTGGTTTGTATTTGGATCCTACAAGGTAACCCTAACAAAGGAGCTACAATGGAGCCTATGGGTATTTGTGAACTGCAAGCTCAGAATTACAATGCTGGTGCTCACAGATAACGGCTTCAGAGTCGTGAGGCCCAGTAGATGTTCGAAGCTTTCCATGCTCCCACGGTCGAGCCAGTAGCAAACGAAATCATGTCCGAACCCCCAGAGCAATTTCCGGCAGGATAGGGTTTAGGGTTTAGGGTTTAGGGGTTTAGGGTTCAAGTCGGGCTGAGCAATGAACACTTTCGAATGACCAACCTGAAGGGCACGGGTTTCAAACCCCTGCGAAGGGCCATGTCACAACATCGCTTGAATTCGGCGCTGGATCCACCAGCAGCACTATAGTGTTGGATTTGCTAGAGGAGAAAGTCCTGACTATCGTGGCCATCAAAAAGAGACCTGCGGCTTCTTCGTGATGGTACCATGTCCGTGAGGCAGCTGGAGCAACGTCAACATGACATCGTTAACCGACAAGTCCGCGATGGTGATCAGAAGCTAACCCCAAAGGGTCCTATGTACCGGTATAGTAGAATGTAGGGTTTGCATGTTAGGAAATACTATAATGACTTAGGGAAGAATCCCATAGCAGCACATAAGACCCTTTGGGAACGGAAGTGGAAGCTGTGGCCGAACTGTGTGACCGGCTGCGTTCTGCGCATGCAGACGGCGAAGGAGCTTTGCATTCAGAACCTCTGCATCTTGCATCTGGTCGCCCCTAACGTCGAATTCCTAAAGCATGCTGCGCAGAGACTGGGGCATCATCTTTGCAAAGGACATCCTGAACTCAAAGCATGTGCCCGAACGAACATGTAAGGTCCTGATGTAGATCCTAAGGTCTTGAGTGAGCATAGGCTTAGTTCCTGTCAGAAACTCATAGTCCTTCGACCCCTAAATGCGCTGTATGCCTAGAACCA